TATATATATATATAAATGTTATTTAAAAGAAAAAACGTTTCTATGGTTTAAATTAATGATAAATAGTGATAATGACACACAGCTAACTGAATTTTAGCTATCGTGCTAATTCTTGATTTTACATAAATTGCAGTCGTTGAATACTGTGTACCGTCCTAATCAAATAAATAAACAAAATCAAATAAATAAATAAAAAAGTTAATGTAAATTATGTGTTATTTATTATCATCAGTAAATGTCACAGGAATATTTTTCATGTATTTATTATTCTAAGTTTAAACTAGTTCCTGAAGTTCTGAACTGTGGGTTCTACAGTTAGCCGTGTTAAAACCTGTAAAAACCCATCTGAGGCCTGGAGGCTCCAGTTTGGTCTCGTCAGTGTCACTGTGCTTCTTGTCAGCACTGATTCGATCATTTCCTCTCTGTGTTTTTGTGTTCTGCTGTCATCGGAGCCTCCTGGGTCCACTTCATGAAGCTCATTAAGATTTCAAATGTGACAGAGGTGATCAGAAAGTGATGGCTTCCTTTGTTCTGTTTCTACCATCTGATCAGCCCGGGCCTGCATTTCCTCTTGCATCCATGTCCGAGGACGTTGGCCACAGTCCCCTGATCCTTGAAACACCAGGTGTGAGGACTATGATGTCATGAACTATAGTTTTTGAAATAGTTTTCGTTTAATTATATTCATTCTTTAATTTTCCTTGCTTTACATTTAAGTTCCCGTGTTTCCAGTCTATCATCCACACCTGCTTCCTATAGGCATCGCTCAGCTGCCTCCTTCACTGTTGGTTTGGTCTCATTTATCAGTCAGCAGTTTTTATTTCTTTTTTTTGTTGCCACAACAGCATTTTTTAAATTTTTATTCATATTTATATTTTTTTAATTTTCCTTGAGTGTTTGTAAGAACCTGCATGGTTCGGTCCTACAAAGTGCTGCACATGAAGCAGCTTGATTCAACTGTCTGTGAGCTCCTGCAGCTCTCCTCTTTGCTCCATGTTCAGTATGTCCCTTTAAAGCGGCTGAGGTCCAACACTCAGTCTGAAATATGACTGTGAGACAAACATGAACACAGTCTTTCAGGGAGGGGTTCATCTGTGTCTGAAACAGATCAAATATACGTATCAGTTCTCTGAGCTGCACCACAGACATGTTAGCTCTGCTGCCTCACAGGTGGACCCTCTCAGTTCACATGTTCCCCGTGTGCATGTGTGGGTTTTCTCCAGCGTCCTCCCACAGACCAGAACTGTCAACAAC